TACAAATTTTTAGAAAATAGTTGAACAAAATTTACGGTACTGAACTTTAAATTATAGTAGATAATTAAGAAAGATACAGATAATTAAAAAAGAATAAAACCCTTGTAAATACTTCATATTTGTTATGATATCGTAACAATGTAATATCCCACATTTTCGTCGTTCTAAAACGACCCTTTAAAATTTAAATTATTTTTTGAGTAGAGGAAACCCTAAAGTTGTAATCACTAAAGTGAGTCGCAATTTTCGTTTTTTATTTATTATATTATATTTTTTATATATTTTTTTCTCAGTTCATGTTTTCTATTTATTTTTAGTTTATGTCCCGACACATTGTTGTTGTTGGATTTACAATATAAAAAATATACCACTGTGTTATAAAATATAGCGCTATCTTCTTCTGAATTTTCCATTTTCATTCAAAAATTTTAAAAGATTTGAATTATGTTGCAAATGTTTTTGAAGAAATGTAAACTCAGGGGGTAGTTCGTAGGGGTTCATTTCATTTGAAAAAAATATGAAAATTAATATTATCTTTCCCAATTTTCTTCTTGCTCTTAATAAGGTAAATTATCGTATCTAATTAGTTACGCTCAAAATATCCCGCTGTGCTCTGTAAACATACATTCAACAGTACCTATCGAGAAAATTCTCTTAATTTTCATGGAAGATGGCAACCATATTTATCAAAACAATTTCCGTTTGCTATACAACCACGCATGACTGTTTGACGAATCGTCGAATATATTGTTAACATATGTATGTACTACCACCACCATGCATACATACATACACACGTACACTTAGTACAAATGTTTACTTCTACACTCTGTTAAGAGATGTTTACCAAAAACGAATATGTGGGTAAATATTCAATCGCCTATCGGGGATGATAAATTAGTATTTAGAATAGAAAGTGTAGTTTTTATATAGAATCAACTTGTTTAAATGTGGCACTATTTTTAGTACCAAAAATTTTGGTAAAATATTTACTATTTTCGGTACTATCTTGGCCTGTTCCCCTACTGCAAGAATCTACTATTTTTTGACTATTTTTTCCGATATCATAAAGGAAAAATTGTTATCGTAGTAAAAAATGGTACATTCTTGCAGGTTCTGGAGCGGGCCATCTGTATTTTTTAGATTTTTAAAAAAGTACACAAAATTGTTCCGAAATTGTATATTTTGAACACGAGTAACAAAGTTATCATATTTGGTACGATTTTTATATTTACTCAAAATTTAAAGGCCACTAGCTTATAGTACGTTTACATTGTACTGGATTTCGCTAAATTGTCAATTCCATTAAATTCTAGATTTGTATCATAGGTACCGTTTTTAGGATCGATCATCTTTTTTACCACATTTAAGCCTACACAAAAAAACCTCCATCAAATCCTCTAATAACGACGGTAGTACATTTAATATCGCATTAAGCACTCGTCGTACATTTTAGTACGTTTTTTGTACACAATTTTGCTTATCACAAACCCAATTACAGCACAAATTTCGAGCCGTAATTTTTTCGGATTGCTTAAGTTTATCATAAACTAATTTATGATAAACTAAGCGGAATAGTAAATTTCGGAGTCTAGCTCTACACCTATCTCGATGATTATTACATTTTAGAACATTCATGAATGTCTAAAGATCCTGCTGCGGACAACACTAGCGTTTGGGGACTGGAGTGCAAAAGACTGAACGGAGTGGGCCATCTTCTCCCTCACTTTTGTTGTTGGGTGTTTTTCCTTCGCTACTTTTTGTCTATTACTTCTCGCCGAACCTTGCCTTCCCAATTTTTAAAGTAGACAGCGATGGACACATAGTCGCCATATCCATTGTTTGGCCGGACTTGCCATTAAAGACCCGTCCATGCCTACCACAAGTAGAGTTCCTTCTTCATTCTCTTCTCTGTGGAAGAGTTTCAATTTTTCCAGTCATGTTCTTGACAAGACTTCGAGCATGCATTCTGTTGTGAACTCACTGACCCTACCTCTGACGAAAACAGTTGCCATTTTCTTCATCAGCTTGAGTTTGATTGTTTCGTTTATGGAGACAATTGGTCTGAATCTACTCGATTTTTCTATTTTCTTCGATATCATAAAGGAAAATTTTGTTATCGTAGTAAAAAGTGGTAGATTCTTGCAGTACGGGAGCAGACCAAATGCTAGCCACTAACATTCTCAGGGCTTCTACGATGATGATGAATGACCGTAGCATGATTTTCGTCTATCAGTGCATAGCTAAACTATAGAGAGTCTCTATAGTACCTCTTGTCAACCTTCGTATAAGATCCGTACCATCAATTGCAATCATCTTCCTCTCCCGTACAGTCCTGTTAGATCTTTTGGGATTCCCGTTCTTTTGCGAAGATTCCCATTAGGGATAAATACATCGATTAATTGACTTTTTGTATTGAAAAGTCTAAAAATCGAAGTCGATTTTAGATCTTTGAGGAAAGCGCAAAGTCGAGTTTTCAAGATCGACTTTCATAAATATTTGGTTTATTATCACAAAGCTCAAGCTCAAAACACATTTGAGAACTTTTTTATCTGTTGACAACAATTCAGACAAAAAATTATTTTTTTATTCGATTTTGTGTTAGTCGGTAAAAGTCGAAATCGATTTACAACAGGTTTGACAAAGTCGAAAAGTCTACCTTTTACTCAAAGTCAAAAGGCGGGACATACAAAAGTCTAAAAATCGACTTTGTGATCAGAGGAAAAAATCGAAAAGTCTAAAAATCGTTTTTTTGCGCTCGACTACGTATACATAATTCCGATGCACGGCTCGCCTTTAGGACACTAGAGCCAATTTTGCCGACCTCACTCGATGGATTCGCGTGGTAAAATTTATTAATTTCAGCTTTCTCTTTGGATCAATTGACGGAAAGCTTCTTTTATATCGGTTTTGCATTCGTCGGAGACCTAATGCTCTTCACCGCTTTCGAAAAGGAAGATGGAAGATCAGGCTTATCCTTTTAGGCATAAGTCTGTGCGTTGTTGTTTCTCAGTTCCATCTTGACCAGTTTCCTCCACTATTGTTGTAAGTTTAACAATGTCCTTGTTCATTTCTACCGCCATTTTATCAGCCTTTTTGCTCCTCCTGCGGCATTCTATGAGGGTTATATAGGTCTTACATTCATGTTCTAACTCAGAAGTTGAGTTCTAACAGAGTTTGTATAGGAAGTTTGGGTCAAGATTGCCCATATACTTAGATCCATTTTGTCTGTTGGCTGCGTGCTTTTAGCTATACTTTCGACCACAGTTGACAAGACACTGACCAACATCTGTATTAGATTTTTTGTAACTATCCCAGGGTGACGACTGAGTTATTTCGGCTCTGCACTTTAGTATTCCACTAATAACAGAGAATTTCTTCGAAATATAACTTCTTGTACGAATTTCCAAACATTAGAAACACATCCTAAAAAAGAAAAGCGATAGATTGAATCTAAAAATAAAATATCTGCCACTCTAAAAAATTTCTAATCGCAAACAGCGTTCCTTAATCCTTCAAGGTCAATTCTGAAGATAAGCAGAATTCATACAACAAATCGATAAAAGTAAAATACTGAATCTGTCATACAACAACTAAGTACAACAAATGGTTCTACTTCATTGTATTTACCATCCCTGTCGCTCACAAGACGTTTCTGTGATATATCTGTAGTAAAACCAAAAGTAAACACCAACAATAATAACAACAACAACTAAAAACAAAATATACGCACATTTCATGGATGGCGGGGTATACAAATATCTATACGTACGTACGTATGTTCAATTGCACGTCACATCCGATTCTTTGGTGGGCGCTGTGAGCGAGTTTTTGTTTGTTTGCCTTTTTTTCTTTTCTTTTCATTTTTCGACAAGAAGAGACATGACAGCACTCCGCCACTGCACGTAGTTGTTAGTAGAGTTTTGCATTTACTTAAGAAAGACGGAGAGTGTGAGAGTGATTTGCCTCCATAAATACAACACGCACGTCTTTGCTCATTCAATAACAGATATTAGAAACGAACGGTTCGGAAGAGAAATATATACGGCTAATTTATAATTTGTTTGAAATATTTTAAGAAATTTTTAGCAATAAAAAGGAATATGATAAACGAGGGAAACAAAATAAAAAACAAAAACTAAATTTCATACAAGATTATTTGAGCGGTACTCTGTTGTTAAAGAAATTAAAAAAAAAACATCAACACTATTCCAGTTCCGCTTTGCCATTACTTCGAGTGCACAAAAAAAACGAAAGAGGGGGGTAAAAATAGTGACCATTCAACCATTTGTTATCATCTTTATGTAGAAAATACGCGTTGTAACTAACGGTCATAACATTTTTGCCGTATGTACTCTTCCTGTCAGAGAGAGAGAGAGAGAAATTTCCTGAGGAAGTAATTGTGAGATAGTGGGAGAGAGCAAACCCCGCCGAGAATGATAAACAGAGAACACTGCCGATAAAGAACAGATTGCAAAACATTCTATTGCCGCCGCCGCCACTGCTGCTATAAAAAGAAAATTCACTGCCCGCCACCAAACAAACTGCCAAAGAGCGTGCTAATGAAACGTGTGTGTGTTCGTGCTTGGAGAGCAACTTCCACTTGAGATACTCCAACCAACCAGCCAGTCAAGCAAACAAAATAAAATACCCAACTACTGGCTACCTCTACCTGAAATTTTGAAGTTCAAATAATTGACTAGTTGCGTGTTGGCATTCAGTAAAGCAAGACTGATCCAAAACTGACAACGGAATTTTGAAAAATAAAAACTGATATTTTTTGAACAAAAAGCAACAATAACATAAAGTTCCTAAAGAAACAAATAAAACACAACTTATGAATATTAAAAAATAATAATACTAAACTAAAAAAATTCAAAAGTATTATTCCTATAACTGTGATATTAGAATTAAAGAAAAAACAACAAATATTTAAGTGTCCTTTTAAAAATAAACCAAAAAAATATTTTAATCAAAACACAACAACAATCATCGTCAACATGATTACTTCAACAACCTCAACAACGGATTATAATAATTTTTTTAAACGTCCTGCCCTTCCCTCAAATGCCGAACAATATTTACGCGAACAACTTGAAATTGGGTAACTACTACTATATTTTCTTCGTTACTTTGTGTATATTTTTCAATTTTGTTTTGTTAAATAGAAAGTATTAAATAACAAAAAAAAATCAAAATAACAAAAATATTACTCAAAAATTTCTTTGGTATTACTACCACATATTTTGCATTTGTTATTGACGCCGCAAGGCCTTCAATTGATGTCTAGTTTGTTTTCTTTTTGTATTATTATTGTTATTATTTTTGTTGCTGTCATTATGTTTTCGTCATAAAAATGTGAAAATTAATATTGAGATCATGGTTGATTTGCTCACACAGCTCAACAAGAAATAGCAAATCATATATAGACCAGGCCGGTCGGTAGGTCGGTTCGTTCTCTCCATCAAACATGTCAATATTGTCGATAAAGATTCTGTGTTAGGGCGGCACTTTAACTGCCAACTACCAACAAAAAAATTGTGTCATATTCTATTATGTTTTGACGTAAGATTAATGCCAAAAACAGCTGACAGTTTTATGGCTAAAATGGAAATGCAAAAGTTTTTTTGTTTACCTTAGAATTCTGCGATTATTTTAAGTAAGAGGATATTTCGATCCTCCAAAAAGTTTATATAGAGTCTGTTAATAGTGATATTTTTAATAAAATTAAATTTTAATTTTCCTATATGGGTCAATTTGAAATTAAAAAAAGTAAAACTTGTAGATCATGATATAGAAATATATACATAAATGCTATACCCATTTTAATATCTTTCTTATTATATGGTACTCTCATGCATAATTTTCAACCCGATTTTTGACATTTACTTAATAACAAGTCGATGTAAGATTTTTCGTATGTATTTTTCTCATGAAAATTAAACATTGTGGGTTTTTCCGTAAGCAGTTCGTGCCAATAAATGAAAATTTTGTAATCATATCGACTTTGTGATATACCAAAAAATAATATACACTTTTTAATAATATTATCAGTCTTATGGCTAATGGTTTTAGAACCTTTTTTGGAGCAAATCCGGAACATTTAATCGTAAAGCAAGTTTGAAGATGAATAATACCGGTCCATTTTTTTTTGATACCTCCCCACATTAATTTTTTAATGTCATACGAACGAAGTATTCGATTTGAAGAATCCAGTATTTTAAGCAAATTAGTGTAGTTTTTGAATATGGGACTTGTGGGTTCACTCCTCCCCCACAAAGTGTCAAGATTGTGAAAATTTGTAAATCCAATATTAAGCAACATGATCTATACCGTGCTCATTGTAATATTTTTATTTCTCAATAATATTTCCCATTGGTCCACCCCTTCTGGAACCTCACCCTACAAAAAGTGAACATTTTTAAATCAAGGAAATATGTCGAAATATAAAAAAGGACTAATAACGAAAATGTTAATTTGGGAAAGTCTCAGTTGATTACCACAAGGTTCCTTAATTAGTCTTTACTAGACGATTTTGATATTACAAATTAATATTATATTTAAATATTAATATTCAGATAAATAATTTATATAAATAATAATTTAAATACATTTAATTCATTTGCTCAAACACCACATTTTAATATATTTAAAATGAAATTTGCATTTTTCCACGTGCCAGTATTCATATGTATATAAATATTTTGATAAATTATTACTATTCATGTTCGAAAATGATAACAACAAATATCTAACTTCCTCATCGATATATAGGAATAAATAAAATATAAATATTTTTCTAATGATATCAATTTTGATGGACATTAAATAACTTATGATTCCTTACAAAAATACATTCAAAATTAAAATAGACGACAACATTTAAAAAACAACAAATGACAAGTCACAATAGCAATGCATTTATTAATATTAAATAAAAAATTAGCAACTTTACAATAAATTAAACTAAATTTACAAAGAAACAAAAATCCCCTTGGATTGGGTTTTTTGCAGCTTTTCATACAAACACACATTTAAATTTTCCATTTGTCATTGAGTTTTGGTCGTAAAGAAAAAAAAAACTAACAAGCAAACTGCAATAAAAAGCAGCTTATTTTTAATTCTCACAATTACAACAACCACACAAAAAACATATGTCTATAAAAATGAAAAAAAAAAATCTTATATTTCCCCCTCTTGTGATTCCAGTGAACGACGATATGAGGAATTATGTCGTAACATCATCAATGACATGAATCAATATGGCCTTTCGGTGGTGGATGATTTTCTTGGCCGTGAAAAGGGCATGCAAATACTCAATGAGGTGCTTAACATGTATTCAGCCGGTGTTTTTAAGGTATGCATTTCGAATTAGAGTTCTATGAATAATAATCTAATAGTCTTTTTTTCAGGATGGTCAATTAGTCAATAATTTTAAATCCGATCAAGACCTTAAAACAATTCGTGGTGATAAAATTACCTGGGTCAAAGGTGTTGAGCCAGGCTGTTCTAATGTAGGCTTTTTAATTAATCAAGTAAGTTCTAAGTTTGTAATTTGAAATTGTTTTAGAAATGCATTATTTTGTTGTTGTTTTCATTTGCAGATTGATGCGGTTATTTGTCGAGCAAATGCCATGAGAAATAATGGCAAATTGGGTGATTATGTTATTAAAGAACGGACAAAGGTAAATATTAATAGGAATTTGATCAATATTCCAAATATTGACACAAATGTTTAAGAAACATGATTTTGGTCCATGCTCTCTCCGATGATTTTGAATTTTAAAATTTATTTATCTATATTTTCGAACAAAATATTTAAACTGTCGAAAAAATTGTATAAATTTCAAGTCTATAAAAACATCATTCATAATTTATTTTTATAAGATTTTATTTTACTGTTGAAATGTTTCAGTGCGTCTCTTTTGACCGCCCTTAAACAATTTTATTTCATGTGAAATATTCATTTTTAACCCCTCAAATAAGTATCATTAAAATATTAGGTTCGTTCGTTTACTCAATAATTTGTACGAATTTGTACAAATTATTACAAAATGTTGTTCGTTTACTCAAAATTCCAGTAAAACAGAGTATTTGCCAATTATTACAAGGCAAATTTACTCAGTAAGAATTTTCTTGTACCATCAGCTGATATTAAATCAGCTGTTTTGTTATGTTTTGTAAACAAAAAAAAAATTGTTCTCAAGAAAATTGATTGTTTTGTGAATTTTATTTTGATTTTGTATCATTAAATACCAAAATGGATGAAGAAAACGCAAGTATTTAAAAATAAGGTAATACAAGAGTAATTGGCGAACGATTTTTTAGGTTCCAAATCAAAACAAAAAGTGTGCATCCCTAACATGTGTGGAACACCATCGGTTATGTCGTCACACCGGTCACAACCCTTTTAAATGCTTGTGGGGAACAAACAACATCAATTTTCCGCTTGTTATCCATTTTTCTAATAAAAATGCTGTTTTTTAAAATTTGTTTGTTGTTTTAATAAATAAATTACTCTCATTCGTATACTCTCTGCAAATATATAAATATTACTCGAACGAACCTATTGTCTTTTTTTCTCAAAATCAGCTGATTTAATAAATTCCAAAATGATTGCATATAAATGCAATTATATTAGAAACTATACTCTATTGCAATTATAAATTAAATTGTTAATAAATAAAATACTCATTGGAAATATATTTTATTTATACCATAAAGACGTAATGAAACAATTATTTATTACAAAACAATTATCACTTCCCCCTGGTTTACCTGCCTATCAAATTTATTGGCCATTTACCGGTTTATAGTTTATTAAAAAATTACGTTTGAATAAAAATAGCAAAATGACATTGAAACAAAAAGAAATAAAGCCTAATTAAAGTGTAATATAGTTGTATTCTTAACGATCACTTTGCTAGGCGTCACATTCAATTGGTTAACTGATTTAAAATAACTTGATATAATCTTATCTTTGGCAAACTACAAGGGGAAGCCCAGCCAGACGTTTTCACTTCAATTCGATTCACAAAGAAATTTGAAAAGGTTCTGCTCTTTTTCTCTCGCTAGGCTATCCAGAAGTAGCAAAAGTAAATAATATCTTATTATCTGGCTAAAGACACGAACGAACACGAACTACATTTAAACAAGATGACATTTTCCATTGCGCAAAATGTTAACATCTGTTGTTATTTACAATAACTAAGGCATACGCGATCATTTCTCACAAAGCATCTGCTAAAATAGGAGGAAACAAAAATAGCTTGACATATTTATATAAATATAATCTTATCAGTGTCTTTCACATTTTGTTCTAAAGATTCAAAAATTTAAAAATATATATTTTTTTGAAATATTTTAAGTTATTTTTATTAACAATTTGTTTTATTATTTTCTAGGCCATGGTTGCATGTTACCCTGGGTCCGGTTCTCACTATGTTATGCATGTCGACAATCCAAACAAAGATGGCCGAGTCATTACCGCCATTTATTATTTAAATCTCAATTGGGATTCCAGAGACAGTGGTGGTGTTTTAAGGTAAATTTTGTCTATTTCTTAAAATGTTGAATCAGTTAATAAGTCATTTTCCAATTTTTATAGAATATTCCCCGAACAAGCTAAATCCGTGGCAGATATTGAACCAAAATTCGATCGTTTAATCTTCTTTTGGTCAGACAAACGTAATCCACATGAAGTGCAACCCGCCCACAGAACCCGCTATGCCATTACTGTTTGGTATTTTGATGCCAATGAACGAGAAGCTGCCTTAAATCGTTGCAAAAACAATACCCAAAATAATAGAAACACAAACAGCAGCGGCAATTCTACGTCATCCTCCTCAAATGCATCGTCATCATCATCCTCCTCCGCAGCAGCAGCACCCAATAATACAAACAGTTCATCTTCCTCCTCGTCCTCCGCCAGTTCAGCTTCATCTGTACCTCCACAAGTAACAAACAGCAATGAAAGTCATCCTTCTAGTAATGAGTACAACAGCACAACATCACCATCCTCCCTGTCTTCATCTCCAACGCCACCTGCCTGTAATTTGTCTGGAAATTCGGCCGCGAATAGTGTTCGACCTGTCCAGGTTGTTCTACCCAACTGTTACAAATAACAACCGAAGTTTATTGTCTCGGTCGAGAAGTATGAATATCATCAGCATGTAGTGTAGTGTGTAAATTTTATTTAAAAACCATACGCTTACATTGAATATCCAAAACTAAACAAAGAAAACCCAAAGGGGAGACTAACATGCACTGCAGGAAGCAAAAAAAGAAATGAGGGAAGATGACGACATAGAAGAAGCAAAAAAGTACCTCACTGCATGCCGAGAAACCCTTGCAGTCCCTCAGGCTTTTCAATTAGTCAGATACCCTTATATATATCAAGAATGTGGACTATACACATTTTACTGAAGACATTTAACAATTGGCAAATACTAAGCCGCCTAAAAGTCATTTATGAAATGAATTAATCAAAATCTATGACAAATGAAATAATCTTCTATATTAGTAGATTACCCCAGGGGTTCTCATTAACCATTCTCGGATGATCATTTTATAGCTAGAATAACAAAGTATTGAAGTTACAAACACAACAACTATTGTGAATAGCTTGTAAAAGTCTAGATATAATTTTCATACATATTGCAAGTCAATGCAATGCACCTTTGAAAACACATTGAATGCTATATAAAATACAAACAAAACACAAAACAAAGGACAAAACAGAAGAATTTAATAAATATTAATTAATTTTTTGTAAATAAAGGATATACCTTGAATACCTAAGAATATCTTACCTAAAGGAGAACACTATCTAATGTATACTATTTTTCAATTGTATATTATTATATATTGTAGTAGATATGTTTAGCAAAATATTATATTTTTTCTTTATATTTTGCTCATTGAAATAAATTTATAAAACTTAACAAAAAATTAAAACAAAAAAAAAACTTGTATGTTCTACTCAATATAGTTTTTTTCTATAAAACAAAATATTTTACAATAACAACAGAACGTAAATTATTTCTAACATGTATATATGTATGCAAATTAAATTGTATTATTATGAATGCAAAATAATAAAAATAAAAAACAAAACAAATTAAATTAATTCAAAGAAATATTTTATAAGACTTTTTCTTTTTCTATTGATGGGGATTTGTTTTGATGCAAGATCATACGTTAAATCTGATAAGGAAATGAAATTGTGTACAATATTCGCAAAACGAATATCGATTTTAAAGGGAAATATGAAATATGTCACAATACCAAAGGGGCTACATTATCATTGGGACATCACTATTCCAAAAAGTTAATAAACCAGAAAATTGAGGACAGTTGAAATTACATGCCAGGAGAAATTTTTGGAAAAAATATACATTGCAGATGTTTGATAACCCTCACATAAACGTAAATAATCAACTCCATTGACGTCGCTGTTTGATATGAGAGACCTAATGTTGCAGTTGTTGTTGTTGTAGCAACATAATACATGTAGTGTGTCATTCATCGACTGGTTCTGCTTCCTCAACCTCCAAATTCAAGAAAGTTGTAACATGAACGGGTTGCGTCCAAAGTGAATTCGATGATATATGAGTCGGCTTAGCTGGGCAGTTGAAGAGGTGCAACGTGTCGTGTGGTCCTAATCCACATGCAGGACATGTGTTAGGTATCGAGCCGTCTATTCTTGCCCAATATGAATTGTGACGGTTGCACCATCCTGATCTTAGTTGAGCTAAGACTACTCGTGTTTGCCTTGGTAGATGCTTCTCCTCTGCTACGATGGATGGGGGGGGGTGGTCTCCAATTATGGTATTCACGCAATACTGTTCTACTGCCCGAGCGACTGCGTATGTGTGAATACCAATCAGACCTGCTTGATAGGCTTCTTGATCTAGGGGTTCACGCTTGTACCTTTGGACCTCTCTCTCTCTGTAGATCATGAAGATCTTTCCATAAGACTATGGCAGGGATGTTCCCGACGATAGCACCCAAGCAAGTACTGAATCACAACATATAATTGTGACGATGTAGGGTAAGATCTCCTCATGAAGATGGTCCACAGGAGTCATGAGGAGACACCCTGTTGCAGTTCTCAGGGCAACATTCTGGCAGGTCTTCCACTGCGTAACACTAACATTCGCGAACCACACTGGCGCCGCATATCTTTCCAATGTCTGGCCTATTGATTTAGCGACTTGGGGACCTTGTTCCTACTTCTAATCTTATCGCATATGGCAGTGGCTTGCGCAGACGACATGAAAATGCTGTCGAACGTTACTCCCAGTATCTTCGGGTAGTTGGTGGTCAGAGTCAATTCTCCATCGACCACATAATGGTCGATGTGGGAGCTTCATTTCAGCCGTCCATGTGGTGAACAGTGTGGCTGTTGATTTGGTGGCGGATATTTTTATATTCCTCAGAAGGAAGAAATTAACAAGATCGGCAGTATAGACGTTTGGCCTCTCACATATATCATCAATAATGGGACCCGCATACATTACGATCTCTATGCCATCCGGTGGTTGTGGAATATCAGAAAGGTAGAGGTTAAACAGTTCCGGAGATATCACCCCTCCTTGGGGAACCCCTGTTTTGCTCTGCGGGGTTTAAACTTCCTCTTTCTGAATTCCAAATACCAGTGGCGTCCACACATATAGTTGATTATCCAATGTTTCAAACACTGCCGGAGATTTGTCCTCTCTATATCTTCGAACAGCTTGGCATGGTTGACAGTATCGAAGGCCTTCGATAGGTCAAGTGCCACCAAAACTGTTCGGTTGCACGGCCTGTTCTGGTTGAGCACTCTGCTAATATGTGTGGCAATGGCGTGTAGTGCTGTTGTTGTGCTGTGCATCTTACGGCATCCATGTTGGTGTTGGGCAACTGTATAATTGATTCTCAACGATGGGAGGAATAGCGCCTCAAGTATCTTTGTTACCGGCGAGAGAAGTGAAATCGGCCTGTACGATTCACCCCTGCTGGCATCCTTGCCAGGCTTCAGTAGCGGGATCACCCTGCTCATTTTCCAGGCTTCAGGAACTATGTGGCTGGTTAACGACAAGTTGAGGGCTGATGTTAAGTACTCAACTCCGGGTTCATCCAGCTACTTAAGCATTACCATGGATATTCCGTCCAGGCCCAACGCTTTGGACGACTTAGCGTTATTGACGACACACTATGTCGCGAGTTCATATAAACAGCGGCCAAAAATAGAAGGAGTTATCGTAAGTTAATGAAATTTGGTACATGTGCTTATTATTGGCCTAAAGAGCAACTGACAAAAAATTTGATAGATCGGACCAAGATTTCGTATACCTCCCATACAATGGGTCTTGAGAATGTCACCCTTTTTGGCCTATAAAATCTTTAACATTCAAACAAATTCAATGAAAATTGGCAATTTACATTTAATTAGGCCTCTAAAGCAACTGACCAAAAACTGGGTAGATCGGACCAAGATTTGATATACCTCCCATACGAAGGGTCTTGAAAAATCCGCTTTTTTGGACCTATAAATTTTTTATATTCATCCAAATTGCTCGAAAATTTTCATGTCTTCTTCCAAATTACATCAAATTTGGGCGATGAAAGTAATAGGTGCTGTAATTTAGTTGTTGGCCCATATTTCAGGTACCTACCATACCAAAAGTCCCTAAAAATGTAACTTTCTGTACTATAAAATCGTTATATGCAGCTAAATTAAGTATATTAGTTATATTTTTGTTATTTTTAATATAATAAAATATTTGATATACTTTAGTTACTAATAATTTACTTTTTTATCATTCACAAAATTTTCAAAACACACATCAGAGATATATATAAAATATTGTCTTCCCAAATGTACGATTTAGTATTACCCACGTTATAATCTCGGGCCTTTACTTTATGGCTGTTTAAGGATATTACAAGGTCGGATTGTAATATAAAATTCTAAATGTCCTTACTTAACTCGTCTTTAACAAAAGTTCGGGCTGCTACTAATTATTTGTTGGCATGACTTGTTAGCATCTTCTGAAAGTCGCTCAAAAGGTATTACTGCACTTTGCATATCCCATGCCATGAACTAATATTTTTCTGTATGAACTTTCCACAAATGTAATTCATGTGCGACATCTAAATTTAGATTATAAGATTATGTCTCAAATGATGTGATAAATAAGTATAATCTTCAAACTGACTGAAAATTTATTTAAAAGCTATATTTTAAAACCAATTCTCCCATATCTTCGCTTCGAATAACGTTTTTACCACTTAATTGCAAATTTTATGTAAAATATTGTATTATTTCTATGTTCTGAATACATATTCTCCTTCCTATTTGACCCTCAATAACTTATTTAATTGTATACATAACATATTTGACAATTCGCTTCTAACCATTTCATGAATATACCGTATTTTTTTAATAAGGTTGTCACCAAAAAAGTTAAATAACTCTTAGGACCGCAGGACTCCGCAGCTAATTTTTTTTATTCCTTAAATAACACACTTTTCACCACTCAAATAAAAAAAAATTAGAGCTAACCTTTTTTAAACTTTTTTTTTCTGCTCCAATAATTTCAAAATTTGTTTTAAAAATTTGATGAACTAAGTACTACAAGTGTGGACGACTGTATACACCATATGATATCTATATACATACAAACTAAAGCGAATCCTAGTTTTTACATCCAGAGCAACCAAAATAAACACTTTTATAATAACCGTTAATTTGAATATTCAAATATTTGAGCAGCAGAAAAACACACCCATTTTTCGAAAATATGGTAAAAAATCAGTTTATAAATAATTATCAGATTTGAACCTCTACAAAACTACTTAACATATCGATATAAAATTTCATATTTATTCTAATTGGAGTGTTTTCTATCAATCCTCATCAAAAAATTTGTCCTCCGTGGTACTTGGTTTTGACCATTTTTGGCCGCGGTCGTGACACTGTGCGACATCTGCAACGTCCTCCTTCGTAAATTGTGGTTGTTCCTCCTCAGCTCGGAGTGCCCTTATGTGACGTAGCACACTCCTTTTCGCCCTGTCACTCTCGGTGTGCTCTATGAATTGCCGGTTAAAATAACTCGCGCACCTCTTCGGGTCTGTCACA